CCCCAAAACCCCAAAACCCCAAAACCCCAGCTAACCAGATTGTTGTGAATTTAATAATTTTTTCTTGATTAATATTTATATATTTGTGAATATTTACATTAAGACAATAATGAGTCTACAACCTCCGTAAAGGCAGTCAACAAACCAGACTTCTGGTACAAAAATCAATCTAAACTTAATTCCTAACTAATTCGTCTCACCTTCTTCTGGCAGCAAGAATGGCTAGCAGTATTTAGCACAGCATTTTAAGAATCATATTGCCAAGAATATTAAAGCAAGTGAGGTAGATATTGAAAACAGAGATGCTATGAAAAGAGTTAGAAATAAGATGGAGAGGCGACCAACAATGAATAATTGCAATTATGAAGATATAATGGTGTAGCTGAACCAAGAGATACTATCCAAATTCAGAAAAGAAAAAACTTTGAGAGCCCCTTCAGACTCGCCAATGAAAGGTCAAATGTCGCATCGAGAGGGTTTTGATTATAAGCCAGACAATAACCATTCGGTATGTAAATTACCCTTACCAAACCTTAATAATATAATCAGCTTTTTTATTTTTCAACTTTTTTAAACATCAATGCTTACTTTTATTTCAAAATAGGTAGTGTTGAAAGATAAACTTAAAATTAAAACCAATTTGGACAATTCTATTGGAAGCATTTTTGGCAAAGGACCTAGCTTTGAGTATCCTGCTCTCAACTTTTCACCAATAACGCCTTCTCGTGCTAATATGCTCATGGATTAAGTTATGAAGTTCAACTCAATGGAGTCTCCGTCCAAATGGAAAATTCTAGGTGATGTCATAACTAACAAATTTAACTAGAAACTGCCTATTAAAGAAATGATCGAGTAAACCCATATGAAGGACAAAGTTTTTGATAAAATGTAAGATTCAAATTATTTAAACCTTCATTTAGCTACTAAAAATTCGCAGTGGGATAAAAGCTGAAAAGGTATGATCTTTACATGAGTGAAGAAGTTGGAAGAAAAGAGATGAAATAATGTAAGAATCTTTTTATCTATAATCAATCAATCAATAGTGAAGCAAGTAGTTTTTGAAAGTAAGGAACAGCAGAGCATGAGTTTCAAGAATTCTAAGAAACTAAAATAGATTTAGATTTAATAAACTTTGGCTTCAATTTCAAAGAAAGCTGCCTAATCAGAGTAAGAGGAAAAGCAAGCTACTTAATCTTATATGCAGACTAAAAAATCTAAAAATCACTAGCTTCTTGCAATTAAGTAAGCTGTTGATAATAGAGAAATCACACTGGACGAAGCCAATGAAATAATTCTCTAGCATAATAAGTAATTAAATGAACAGCTTTTCAAATCAGTTAAAGATAGTAAAAATGGATTTGATACTATCCTTAAAGACTTTAAGAAGAGAATATTTATCAAACCCACTCTAAATTTAAATAAATCGCCTAGAAAGTATAGTATTAGTCCAGATAATAGAAGTCATTCTAAAAATTCAAGAGATAGTCAGATGAGACCTAAATCAGCCACAGCAAATAGGAGTAAATTTCCAAGCTAGCATAAGAGAATGGATTCTATGCAGGATAGTAATGCTGGTACTCGAAAAATTGAGAGTTTTCACGAACCTCTCAAAAAAGAAACTGTAAAGCAAAAGTCAAGTCAATCAATGCTAAATTTATAAAATACCAAAGACAGTGATGTTAAAAGTCCTAGATCAAAGAGATCTCTCGTTAATATTTAATTAATAAACTAGGATATTAAGAACACAGTTGATTATTTCATTTAGTAAGGCAAAGAATCAAAAAAGCAGAGGCCAAAAACTACCAAGACAAGTATCAAGCTTAAGAGTAATACAAGGCCAGTGAGTATTTCTTACGATAATGGTAAATACCCTGGAATAAATTTGATAAACAAGAAATACGTTTACAGAGACTGGAGAGATTATCTGTATGGCCCAACAGAGTCAAGTCTATCTTATAAGCAAAAGATGATTCTAACAGGTAAAAAATCCTTGAAGAAAAGTCCAACTTTGAGGTACACCAATAGGAAGGTAAACTCTTAAATGATGCACAAACTTTTCTATTATCCCTAGGATAGTAATAGCCTGTGGCAAGGAAATAACCCTACGAATTAGTCTACTGAGATTGGGTAACTGTCAAAAGATACATTCCAGTTTATAAACTCTAATGTAAATAGAATAAACAGTAATAATGCTCATAAGGATTTCGGAAGAGGTCAGAATTCTTTGAACTTAACTTAATTTGACACAAATTAGAGTGAAAGCTTTATGAATGCTCAGTTTAAAAATAGTAGTAATGTAGATGCTCACTATATGAACATTCAAATAGGTGATATTGATGCATTTAATAGAAGAAGAAAAAGTTCTGGCTCTGATCTCAGTCTTAAAAATTCATAATATATCTAGCAGGAAAAAAATATTGCATCGAAGCAGAGTATTCATAGTCAGCATAGTCTAAAAAGCAAGCAGAAATCTTAACATTAATATTATCTTTGAGTAAATAAGTTACAAATTTAAATATATAATTATTGAGCAAACTATTTCAATCTTAAATTGATAATTTTAGACATGTTTTTACAAAGATATAAGCGTTCCTATTTTATAGAGAGTATCAGCATTTTCAATTATCAAAATCATCATCATAGTTTTCCTCGAAATCATCCTCCTCGTAGACTGCTTCATCTTCAATTACTGATTCTTCTTTTAATTTAGATTTCTATGTTGTATTTGCCTAGACTTTAATCTATGTATTTTAAGCAGGGGGATTGTACTTGACAGTTTCAGGCTATTATTACTTAAGTTGCTAATTCGCTTTGGTACTATCATTACTACTTTGAAGACTCTTCTAGTTTTAATTATTAGATTGAAATGATTGCTTCAAGGCTATATTAGGTTTTTCAGTAACGTTTGTCTTCACTTACTGAGTACTCGCTGCAGGCTATTTCAAGCTATTAGTTTGTTATTATTGTTGCTGATTTGTTTTACTCATACTAAGTTATGAACCTAGGATCGGATTGTTACTCTTGATGGTTGCATTTTTAGATGGAGATTTGAAACTTGTGTTGAATTCATCAACTATATCAGAATCATCTTCATTCTACTGTTTCTTTTAATCAAGAACCCCACTCTTTTTATTACTCTAATTAGGTAAATCAACAGTTTTTTAAGAATTTTGAGTTGGGCTTTTGAAGTTGTCAAACTTAAACTCCTTGTTTTGAAAATTGTCCTTTCCAACTGCAAATCCTTATGGGCCCTTAGTTCCATTTTTAGATTATGCCTGTTTACCCTTTAAACTTAAGTTTGTATTTCTCCCACCCACTTCATCGTCAATTATTGAATCTTCTATTATAGAATTTTCCATGTCCTCCTAAATATCATTTTCATACTCAGAATATTGCTCTTCATCCCTCTCCTTATCCTTTGGCTTACTTTAAATGTTTCCAAGAGTTGAAGCAAGACTTTGCTAATTAGTCGTTGCATTAAGTTTAATAGGCTTGGTCTCTGTTATTTTTTGAGTAGCATATTTCTAGTCTTTAACTGTTTGATCAGTAGCTTAAAACTTAGCTTTCTCCTATCCTTACTCCTTAGATACGCTCTATGCTATATCTTTATTGAGTAAAGTCTTAGGTGGCTGGTTTAATTAAACTGATCCCTTATGCTCTGACAAGGAATTGCCTGCTTTAGTTGAAATAATTTTATTTTATTTTGGTTATGGCAGCACTGAGTGGCTTTTAACGTTTTTCAGAGGCTAGGGCTATTACTCTTTGACGTTTGGTTTCAAAACACTCTTATGCCCTTATGTACCATCATAACCTTGTATATTTTCTAAGCCTCGTTCCTTTATTGGATTTACTTCTGTGTGGTACTTATCCTAATCATGATTTCTGGAGGTCTTTCTTTCGGAATTTGATCTAATCTTATTTTCTCTTTCCTTTTTCTCTGAGCTTTAAACTTCGATAGGTGGGAGTAACTGACTTTCAAGATTTTCATACAGCTTATTCTTTCTTTGAATTAGCTTCTCAACTGGTATAGGATTAGCTTTCTATATAATTTTTTTAAGCTGGAGGTGATTTTGATAATCCTTTTCTAGCTTTTTATTAGGAAGTGAAGGATTTGCATGCATTATTCTATCAATCATTCTTTAATTTTCTTCATCAATTCTTGTAGCTTCTCTTTTTCTAAAAGGCATATGCAAAGATTTCAATTGACTATTGTTGTTAGCAGACATTTGAGACAAGAATTATGATCCCTGCTTTGTTTCATGCAGAAACTAAGAATCAGAAGGCATTATGGCTTTTATTTACTCAGAGTTGTTACCTCCATCAGTGATTGCTAACTGTTACATTTATTGCATCTACTGTTGCTAAGCTTGAATTGCTACCTGTATGTTAGAGTAATCAGGTCCCAAAATATTCCTTAAAGTACTTTATTTGCCTTAGGAGATATCGTAGAGCTTTTGCATCAATTTTTGATTTGATTTCTAAATCTCTAGAATCTTCTCACTGTCGTTAAACTCGTGATTCTTGAGTTTATTAGCAATTACTCGCATCTTCAGATTTTCGTCATCTTCGTCAATCACTTTCAATTTACCCTATTTCTTCATTTCTAACTCCTTTTTCATCTACTTTAGTTTCTTCTAATGGAGTTCATAATTCCTATATAAGCAGATAAGTTATGATCAAAGAATAATTGGATTATTTTATAAGAATCAAATGATTGCACATACTGAAAGTTATCAAGGGCATCAATGATATTTTTGTTAACAAAGCGAGATGCATTCATTTTTGCAAAATTAAATTAATTATCACTTTTATTTAAAATGCTATCTTATGGGGTTTTGGGGTTTTGGGGGGATCGGAAGAGCACACGTCTGAACTC